TTGCAAGTCAATCCAGTAGTGAGTGCTACTATTGGAAGGTCGGTAGTTCTCGCATAAGTCTGAGTTGTACTCGGCAGATCCCAGCTAGTCTCTGTAGTCCGTTGACTTACAGATACTTATAGGTAGTTACTATCTATAGTGTAGTCACCCATTGGGGTGACAGGTTATTCCATTACATCATATTGTAGGCTCTAAAATTATTGATCCTTGCATAGTTGAAGATGGTTTCAAGATAAATGCATTGAATTATTCTAAGTTCTTGGACAAAGCCTATTTTAAGTGGTACAGAACACAATGAAAAAGCTTTAAACAAAATGAGTTATTTATGCAAGCCAATGCTTTTTCACATTCTGCTAAACTGATGATTTCCTACCTTGCTTAAAAAACGCAAAAAAAATGCAGACACACTTCAAATTAATGGAATGTCCCCCTGTCTTGGCACATTAAAACAATAGAAAACTTGTGTTCCATTATTAAGAGATGTGTATAAGAATGGAAAATGATGTTGAAGCAAAGATTCTGGTTAACAATAAAAACTGCTACAAGTAATAATAAAGTCGAAACAGTAGAAAAGTTTAACAAATTTGAAATGTTAGCAAAAGTTAGCAATAAAAGTTGAAATGGCTAGATATAACCATAAGTTCTGTGCTGTTTCTTCTCTCACACCTCTCACTTGTGGAACTTTCTTCTAACCTCTTGATTTCTAGTCAACTTTGATCTTCAGAAATTTAAATGCAATGTCCATCGTTAATTTTTAGTTGACTTAATTTCTGTTCATTCATTGTTCTCCTTATGTTTTTTTCTTTTTCTCATATTCTTTTGCACTCAGAAACCCCTTTGAATTTTAATGGTTTTATTGTCTGGCTTGGGTTGAAAATGATTAATAAAAAAAAAATAGAAATTCAAGGAGGTCACATTAACATATAAAATGATAATTTAATCCAGTATATGGAAGATTGTATGAATCAAATATGTTTCTATGGCATATATCTTTTAGATTTATGCATAAATAAACATTTATGTTGCACTTGATCAGTTTTGTAAAACTTGAAACCTGCAAAGCAAGTTATCAATATTTATTAATGAGGTACACCTTGCAGGTTGAAATTCAAATGAAAATATCATTCATTTAAATAACCTGAAAATTTTACTAACATCAGTTGGTTAATACTAATTTCATTGTGAAAATAAGAATATAATATCAAAATCTAACCTAGTGGATATTTTGTACAACAACTACAGAGAATTTTATACTGATGGTTTTTCTTATGGAGCTGGTCTTTTAAGGTCTTTTAATAGTACTTCTCAAAGAAATGTTAAATTTTATATGTATTTGATGAGTATTTCTTGAGTATGACATGAAGTAACTGAATGAAATTAGCTATGAACTCTGATTTTGAACTCCAAATCAAATTATCCCAGGATTTACTAGATCATGTTTCATAGCATTTCCAAGTAACAGGAGTTCAAGAGTATCAGTAAAAGGGGAGAAGTGGTTTTATGCCTTTCCCAAGCTTATGAGAGTGAAATGAACTCTAACTACTTTCTTTGGAATTTGAACTTGGTTTGCTGATTCTATTGTTAACCATTAAGCCAACTCAGCACCCACAGATTTGAAACCTGAATAGCAAAAATAAGACCTATTCTTAATGACCCGACTTAATATAGCATGTAATATTTGATTTCCTATCAAATTTCAGTATACATGTAAGAATTGGTTATCTGAACACAAAAGTGACTTGTTTAACATTTGGTTAACTTAGGAAAGCAAAATAATCAGCTTAGAGAATGATATTAAGTAAATCCAGGCCATTTTGATCCTGTTTTAAAATTCAGAATTCCAAAAGGATTGATATTTAATAAGTGACAACATTTTTCTGCTTACAAACTCTTGATCTAAATATCTTTCTCTTTTATAAGCATTTAGATGATTCTTTGTTGTTCTCTCTAAATGTTATAACATGCTTTGTAGCAGTTATAATATAAGTAATACTTTGGCTACTTGCCGTGACGCCTGTATTAATTAATCTGAATACTGACTTCAAACAATTTCTTCCATTACTTTTAACCTGGAGCTTTTTATTATAGTTATGGACTAGTTCATATAGTCATCGATGGTGTACTATTTACTCCACAACCCCCCTCCCCCACTTTTGAGATTAATACTTTTAGAAATATTTTATTTTTATTATTAGTATTAGTATCTCCCCATCCTCTTTTTGGAAAGTTTGTCAACGTACTTGACTCTATAGCATTTCCGTCTCAGATCCACTTCCAGTTCTTCAGTATGCTTTCTTTTTCTGGAACTTGTCCTTGTAGGTTCCCCAACTTGTTTTGGTGCCGGCACATTAAAAACATCTTATATCGTTTTTAGCGGTTCTTCCAATGATTCGGGTCTTTCATTGATGAACCTTATTTTCAACTGATTACGGTACCTTTTATGTTCAAATCTTTTCCTTTTTACAATGTAACTCAATTTCCCGATTCTTGCTGATATTATGCTTTCTTTCCATGTTTCTTTGCCATCCTTATATGCTTTAAAGAACACTTTATTGTTGACCTTGGAATTTTTAGTGTTGTTTTTGTTATCCCTTCATGTTTTTTGACTAATTGGTAATAACTTACTGAACACTGATTCTTCTTTACTAGCAAGCATTAATTCTGTTGAAATCCATGCAAATACACATTTTCTTTTTCTTTACATACACTGCTGGTGCAGCCCACTTTGAATGGTTGACTTTTTCTATTACACCAATTCTTTTGAATTTGTCCAATTCTTTGTTCTAATGCCCTGTTTTGGTGTAAATACTGACATTGAATTTTTTCTGTTTTACTTGAAAATCCACCTTAAATATTGAACACTCTGACTTTTTAAATTTGTCCACTTATTTTTTTTACAATAAATGTTTATCAGTAAATCACAAAGTTCAAATAGTTCTATCCAGTTAGTACTGAATGAATTTGTAGCATTTTTTAATACATAAGCTTTAGTTTTTACATGCTTATTACAGAATGAGACATTACCAGTCATTTCTCATAAAACAAAAAAAAATTTCACCAGAGACTGAAATCCTGACTTTGGAAGTCCTTTTTAATAAAGGCTTTCTGATTTCCTTCCGTGTAGTTTCACTGATTACTACCAGTGTCTAGTAGCATTTTTACACCTACATTATTTATTTTCATATTCACATATTTCCTTTTGTTTTCTGTGACCATTTTTCCACCACAATGCTGCGTATGCATTTCTTCTTGTGAGAATTTTTCTTGGTTTGGTTTAGCAGTGTGACTTTGTGTCCTCATTTAGCACACTTGTAACATTTTGCAGTTTTAAATGGTCAGTCTTTTCCAAGATGTAATTTACCACACCTGAAACAAGGATTTATTCTCCTTTTTGTACATTTGTCCTTTGCTTGTACCAATGCACATTCTTTTTTCTGAATTTTTTCAGAATTGTCTGGCAATTGCCCACTATTTCTTGCAGTGTAATATTACTGTTTTGTTCAATTTTCATTAAAATTTTTGCTTGTATTTCAGTATCTTTTTTAGCAGTTAAATCTTGAATAAAAATGAACCCTTTGAACATATTTGGAGTCATTTCCTTCATTCTAAACTTTTGACATTCTTTGTTGACAATACTAGCATATGTGACAAAATGTTTGTCCATGTTTTTGGTTAGATTCATGCACCTCCAATAAGCATTAGACAGAATGCTCTTGTCATTAAAGATTTTCATCAGAATGTGTACTTTGTCTTCAAACCTGCTTTCACTTGTTTTTTTGGTAATATATAGTTGTAGTATTTTTCATATTCTATCAGAGCTATTTTCCTCAACAACAATCTCATTTTTCTCATCTTCCCAGCTGCTGTATTCCTGACTGAATATTTGTTCATATATACGAAAATATGCAGAAAACATCAGTCCATCATCAGGATTGTATACAAATTCTGATATGGTATTTTGGACAGCTTCTGGTATAAGAGACATTGCAGATTTTTTTTTGTTTTCTTCAGAATTATATCCAACAACTTCTGTTGCTGTTTTTGTAGTTCTAGCAACTGTTGATTTTGCTGTTGTTGCTGTTTCTGTTGTCGTTAAATTTCAACTATTGAAGCAAAAATTTGCTCCATATTTGCAAGAAAGTTTTTTCTTTCCTATACAATCAGAAATTTTTTTTTTTTTTAACCAACTCAGTTAAAATTCTTGTCACCCATAATTTTGTTCCCGAAGCAACAAGTATTTTTTTCCATTCTTGTTCACTCAGTACCAATTTCCAAAATCCTTGTAACTCCAGTTGCAAGTGTTTATTTAAAATTACCTTTAACCATTAGTTAGAAAATTGTTTAGACAAGGTTTTCACCTATAATATTACAATACTTTTGTACAAGTGTTTCTAATTGAAAAAGGAAATTGAATATTTTTTGTGTTAATCTCTCTTAAATTACTTGAGGTCATCTCTGGATGTACTTTTTAGGCACCATTGTGATCGCACATCAAAAGAAATTTTCATCTTGTAACCTTTTGTACATAATAGATTTATATGTTTTGTTTGTAGTCATTAGAAGAAGTATGAAAAAATATGCTGATCATATTTATTTTTAATGATGACAGCATTTTCTATATTTTAATTGCAGACAATAACATTTAGCAGATGATGGAAGAGTTGATTTACTCATATATGCTCTTTATAAATTTTACATTTAATACGTTGGTAAAAATGGCAAATTTTAAAATTGCCAACTATCAAAAATAAAATGAACATAATAAAAATCATAAAAATATAATGGAAAAACAATTGTTTAAAAATTTAAGAATATTGTTTAGGAAAATTTAATAGTGTACTTTTGAAATAGTTCTTAATTCTTTGCATTTTAACCATGTAATTTTAAATAAAGAATTGTTTCAAATTTTGGTACACATTTGAAAAAAATATTAAATTTTACATTGAAATGTTTAGATTTATTTTTTTTCTGTTATCTTAATTTGCTCAATTTCATTTCAGGATCACAGCCTTATCATTAAGTGACTTTGAAAAGAATTTAAATATGGTAAGTATCTATCAAAATTCTTTTATTGTTCTATTAAATGTATGGATAAAGAAAACAGTAACTTTTCTGAAGGCTTTTTATACTTTGATAATTGTTTGGGTCACATATTAATTCTTTTTACCTTGACATTTTTCTTTATTATATACAGTTGTAGATGAAAATGTAGAGAAGTATGTCCTTTTGTTGCCTTCTAAGAAACATTTACTTGACATAAGGTTATGTTATTTGCTGAATTATATCAGCATGCATACATAAGTTTTAGCTTGTGGTTCAACTATAAGAATATATTATGATACTTAATATTTTGCTGAGTATTACATTCATCTTAATTTCAGTTGCTTATTATCATAACTCTTATAAAGATGTCTTTTGTGGTCAGGGAAGATAAGCGACAGTTGTATGGCTAGATTTGTTTGACTCTAGCAGGTCAGGCTCTGTGGCCTAATTTGTAAGGCAGCTGTTGTGTTAAGGCAGACTTCCTAAAAACATGGATTAAAAGTTGAATTTTTTTCTTTAATTCCAATGTAGCTTGCTTAATAAGGGCTGGAAAATGCTGGAATTAGGGTTGCAACTGAAATAAAGAATGAAATGAAAGAATTATATTAGTAAAAAAAAAATTGTAATTTATAATGCATCATCTAAGAAATGAAAATATTATACACTGAGAGAATAATAAGTGATGAAGTATACAGCAAGATACAATGCAAATTCTTGATTTGGTTCTTTTTAAATAAAAGATTTTGCACTTAGAAATTTCTTTTAAGAAAAGGGGATCATAATTCAAAAAGTTTAGGAAGATCTGATGTAATCTACTACTCTTATTCATTCTCAAGGCCCTAGAAAGAAATGTGCTATTGGAGAACGAGCTAGATGGAAAAGAAATAATGAGGGAAGCAATTCAGAGATTAAAAGATGAAGCACGAGGTAAGTTGAAAGAATTTTACCTTTTCAATTTCATTATATATGCAAATTTTTGTCTTGCTAATAAATTTGTGCTGATAATAGCTCTGCCAAAAAGATGTTTCGAAAGTTTCTTGGGAAATCTCACTTTGTTATATCCCTTCAGGATGAAGGCATTTATAGCTCTGCACAACTTTCCATCGTTTGTTACTCTCAGCACAACTTTTTGACTTAGTTTTCTCTCTGCTACTTGCTCATCCATCCATTTGCATGAACTTGTCAAGAAGGTTTCTTGCTGTTTTCCTAGGCTTCTCTTGTTTTTTCATATCTCCTCTACATATTCAATTCTGTCATAGTTCTTTCCCCATAATTTCATCTATTTCTGATTGTCAGAAATAGTTTCTTTGTGGTTTTTATTCTCTTTAAAAAGTTCATATTTCTCACATGCTTTGTCTATTCTCAGCATTTATTAGTAAAAGTGCATCTGTTCAATTTTTTTTTTTTTCCATTTGCAATGAAATTACCTTTCACTACATATAGGAATGTAGGCATTACATAGCAGTCCAGTACCTTTTTTTTTTTCATTTCTAATATTATTTGTTGGTCCAATTGTATTTTACTCAGTTTCTGAAGTGTCCTTTTCTCTTCCTATGAACTTTTTGTGTTTCTATTATTACATTGCCCAGATGAATTTCCAGACTTGTTTAATTCTAACATCCCCAGTCAGATCTTGGGCTGTCCTTTTTGTTTACCACCATGCATTCCATCTTCATACAATTAATAGTAACTCTATTCTTTTTAGGTTTTTTTCAACTGTCTTGTCTCATACTCTTTTCAATGTTCCTTCAGAACCAGCCATCCACTCAGTGTTAGAATATGTTGTCAGGTTGCATTGGCTGATAATTAATCCTAGCAACTCATTTTGTATCATTTTGCACTACAGGTTAAATGAATTGAGAAAACATCCTTGTCACACTCCTTTTTCAGTTTCCATATATCCTCTCTGTTGATTGTGGAAGATTTTTTAAATAGTTACCATTATTGTCTTGTATGATATTTTTTGTGTTTTGTTTTAAGCTGTGGATTTTGGTAGTTCTGTACTTAGTGCTTCCTGAAAATGACATATGTAAATAAATGCTTGTAAAGCAGATATGGTCAAACATGCAGATGTCCAGTTGTATGTCTTCTTTTTCCACTAAGATAGTACTGTTGCAAAATTAAAATAAATATTCATGTCTTTTCCCTGAAGATTTGCTTGAAAGAGATCATGTCTCTGATTTCCAATTAAAACAATTTGTGCTTCTGGTTCAGTTTTATCTAGCAAATACATTGAACACTTGTTCAAGATTGGGATTAAAAAAAAAAGAGAGCAAAACTACTAAGTTGTTACATTTTAACAAAAGGTAGGGGTTTTTATTCAACTTAAAAAAAAAATATTGGGTCTTTATATAGTATTGGTTTTTATTTGTGCGTATTAATATAACTAAATTTACATTACTAAACCTGCTAAACTTTTCCTTCATTAATTTATTTATAAAACTATCAGAGTACTTAACCATAAGAGGAAATAAGAAACATTTTTGATTAGCCTTAAGAAAACTGTTTGAATGACAATGTATAAATATTTTCTTCACTTGAATGATATAATGTTGTAAATATTTTTTCTTTATTTGCCAATTATTTTAATATAAGTGGACATTGAAGTCAACACCCAGAGGTGAGTCTGTTTCATTCTAAATGCAATCGTCAGGCCATTTTGAAATTGTGTTAACCATGAAACAAACTGTTGCCCAAGGGTGTTGACTTCAATGTCCACTTTTATATTTTTATATTTACATATGCTCTATCTCTGATATTAAGCACTTTAACCCATAAATATAGCATACCTTATAACTATTGTATGTATCTATGTATGTATATATATATATATATATATATATATATATATATATATATGCTTAAAAAAAAAATAAGTTACTTAATTAAATTACTGTAGCCTTATGATTTGATGAACTTTTGAATCTGTGTTATTTCCTTAGTTAATTCCATTCTAAGGATTCTACATGGAAAAAAAATGTTCTGCTTTTTGGATACATTACACCAGTAATTATTGTTTATAATTTACCTCCACCTCTTAATCTTTTACATGCAATATTGTTTTGTTATTTATATCATTTTACAATTATATTGAGGATAATAACTCATAAATTCAGTCAGTCTTAAAAGCAAAATAATTTCTTGGCTGTATTGATTTATACTTTTTATTTCTGATATACGAATGCAAGTTTGTGACAATATAACACCCTAGTGTTGATGTGTCATTAAATACAAAACAAAAAAACCCAATCCTAAAATAATAAACATTTGAATTTCTGTCTTTATGCATTAAAAATGCTTATTAAAAAAATCCCAACTATTTCCGAACTGCTTTCTAGTTTTATGCATCTTTATTATTTTCTTTCAGATTTACGATCTGAACTGAAAGCAAAGGGAATGAAACGTATGTCGAGTAGTACAGAAAACTCTTCAACATCAGACATCCCAAGCAGCAGCGGTGTAGAATCTGCTGCAGTCACCACAGCCCCATCCTCAACAGACAGTAGCAGAACGCCATCTGCTATGTCCTCTGATAGTAGTGTCCATCCCAACACAGGAGATTCAACTAATTGTACTGCTACACCTCCTCCATCAACTGCAGCAACTACAGTGAGCAAAGGTAAGAAATATCCCCTACAAATTTAAGCCTACATACTGAGGCCAAAATGTTAGTCTCTTCTGCTCATTTTCATTTGCCTCACAAGATTGAATTTTCTGTGTGTATCATTTTCCAATTTCTCCCTTGTATTTTCAATTTAGTCTATGATAAACAGAAAACAAATGTTTTTAATTGTTCATTCCAGTTTCTGAACCTAAAATTAACAGAAAAATATATTTTCTTACTTTGTTCATCGAAGAAAAATGAATTCCTCCAATTTGATCCTAATATTTTTCACATATAGACAAATAATACAAATATCTAAATTTATTTCATTTTTCATTTGGATTTCATTCACTAATTTAAAAAGCAGCTCTTAAGATTACTTTCTTTGTGTGCGTGCTTCATTTATTAAAAGCCTGCCAATATTCTTGAGAATTTTATTTTTAAGTAATTAGTTGCTTTGAGAATAAATATAATTTAATTTAAAATTTTGTATCATCCCAGCATTGTTCCCAATGAAAACTAACACTTTATCCCAAATCAATGTCCTATCATTCCGGGGATGACGATAATCTTGAGCCCTGTCTAAAATACTGAAAGAAATAATTAAATTTCAAATAAAATAATGTATATCCTGTGGTTCATACACATTACTTTATTTTAAAATAAAGTTACCAGTAACAGCAAAGTTTATGGGCATAATGTTTTGGAATGGATGATACTGATAATTATTTTTAATTATATGAACAAATTTACACTTTCATGCCGATAATGTGTGTGTGTGTGTGTGTGTGTGTGTGTGTATATATATATATATATATATATATATATAAAAAAAAACTAAAGAACCTGACTGGCTTTTATAATTTTAATAAAAATGGTGAAAAAATTTAGTACATAAACATGTAATAAATAAATATATATATATATATATATATATATATATATAGTTGGTGCATTAAGTCTGTTTGGCACAATTTTGATACGAAATTGTCATTGTATAATATCTGATCTATATGAAAAAGTATTGGGTTAATTTCATTGATAAGGAAGGAGAATATGTTGAAAAACAATTTTGTTGTGTAAATTAAATGCATTTTCTCCTCATTTGGCTAGAAATTTACTTAAAAACATATTTTCATTTTAAAGTAACAAAAATACAAAGCTTGTATTGGCTGTTTCTGGACTTTGTTTTTCTTGAAAATAACTAACATGGCTGAAAGTATTCAAATATTAAATATTTAAAGTTGGCAAGTTTCTCTACAGGTTTCAAATACAGGGCATAATTAAATACCAGGAGAAACTCACTAAATGGCTCAAAAGACATTGTCTATTTGGTTTGATAGAACATATTTGAATGAATTTTTTTTTCCTTATTAGATGCATTCAGAAGCAAAGAATATTCAAGAAATTTTGGCTATTAATTTTCTTCAGCTTAATTTTCAGGAAAAGAGAACTTATAACTTAACATAAGTTGTAAAAAGAAATGTGGACACCATTAAAAGAATAAAATATAAAAAACCAGCTTGCTCATTCCTTAAAAAAAAAACTGATTTTGAATATTTCATTAGTGATTTCAAAATGCAGTTGAAGTTTTAAGATATTCTAAACTTCATTTGTTTTTGTTAAATATGTTAAATTTATAAGCAATAAATTATTTTTAGGTACAATCAGGTTCCGAGATGTTTATAAGTAACATTTTAAAAGCAAAATCTTCAGTGAAATATTCTGATTTCAGTTATTTTTCTAGATTGTAACCCTTACCTTGTTGGCGTCCTTTCTTTGCCAAATCCACAAATTAGTTCTTACTTGTGGTCAATAAGTTTTAAAATTGAACAGATACTTACTGACTTTTCCATTTTGGAAATACAATAAAAATAATGTTGATATTAATCAAACAAGTATGGTTGAAATTTATATTGCAATAATCTGATTTCTCAATGTTTGTTTCATTGTCACTAACATAGTGGAAACAATCATTTTTTTTTTTTTTTTTAAGTCCCATACCATTTTAAAATGTTTTAACTTGGAGAACAGACATTTCTAATTCCATCAGACTACCAGTTTGCAAGTAATTTTTAGTTAGCAATTTATTTTTATTTGCTTATAACACCATAATCCTTCAGAATGAAGGTGATTCTGTTCCTCCTCAGATTCTGTTTCTTTATTATTTAGGAATTGTCCTAACTTCTTGGGAAAGATATTGAAGTGGTTTCTTGTTACCTTTTCCATGCTTTTGAATTCAGTTTTCCTTCTCCTAGACTGGCTACCACCTAAGGCTAGAGAGCCTAGTCTACCCTGCTGTTAAGGCCATATCTGGTGGGGTGAGAAGAAGAGATGGATTCATGCCTTTCTCATAGTCATATGTGCAAATCGAATGTAATGAAATTTGAAATTGGCTTGGAGATTTCACTTTCTTTGCAGATAAGTTATGCTGCTCACACATCCATAATTAAGTATAAATTATCAGAAAAAATTCTGTCCAAGGGAGATAACTTTTAGACTATTAACTGCTGATTACAAAGTAATTTTCTTGACTTTACTTAAAAAAAGAAAACAACAAACAAATAATAATAATTAAGCTTTGTGATTAATTCGCTTTTGCAAATAATTGTATAAATAGGATGTGAGTTGATATAAGGCAGAGGACACAGTAAGGAAAGAACAAAATTTGCATCCCTCCCTTTCAATTTATTTAAAAAGAAAACAACTTTTTATGTAAATTATAAATTTAGTTAAAACAATTAATATATTTAAGTTTAATTTTTAACTTAAAATTTTTTAAAATAAGTTCACCCATCACTTTCTTAAATTTGCTTGAGCAATTTGGCTTATTTTATATAATAGTATAAAATAAAATTAAATCTTACAATATTTCTGTTGTACAAATACATCAATGATTAATTAAATTTCTAATACAGCAATTTATCAATTTTTACAAGCAACAGCCATGTTGAAAATGAGAGCATCAATTCTTTTATGATCCTGTTTATCAGATTCTTAAAAACATTGTGGCACTTAAGATGGCTAATCTGCAGGCAATTCTATGCACGTTGCGACTTGTAATTGTCTCTTGCTTGTTTCAGTATAACTGCTGCTTCTTCTCTCTCCCTCCCTCCTTCATGTTAAACATATAAAATGCAGCAGTTTTGTGTTTTTTTCTTCTATTAATGTTTTTCTAGCTATGTTGAATGACCGACAGTTAACAATTTTTATATTTTTTTAAATTTAATTTGAACTATCAATCAAATCCTTTTAATTGACCTTTGGAAGTTGTTTTGTTGGTTATTGTTTAGATATTGCCAGATGGCATGTCAACTTTGAATAAAATGAATCTTTGATGATCAATTATCATTAAGAATAATACTCTTAAGGATAAATTAAAGCTCAGCTCTGCAGATGTTGGCATTTGTGTTACACCCTTTGATGAAAGGAGAGTTGGGCATTGAAATTATTTAGGATTTGGGCCACATTCATTAAATATCATGTTGGTTTACTTTCTTTAACCTCTTTTTATTTGACACACAGCATTATGCTATTCATTACCAGAATAAAATTCAACTCTGAGTTTTATGGTTGGCTCTTAAATAGCTTTGTGAGATCTAGACTCTTAAATGGATGTCATGCATGGTATCCAACCCATTCAGAAATATCACTTTCATCAGTGAAAGTGATATTGATTAAAAATAGATTCCAGCAGATAAAATCACAAACAAATAATTGTACCCACATCCCTTGAGAACTTACAACAGCTAAAATGGATAGCATATGTAAGAGAAAATAATGACATAATTAAGATGCTGACATTCCACATGACTTTGAACAAAATGGTTTGGAATTCCAGGAAATACGCAAAAATAGAAAGAGGCATAAAATGTGTCTTCTCACTGGACTTATTCAACCTTTATAGTGAAGCTATTCTGTGAGAATTAGATGTCCTAACAGGATTCATTATTTGTGGCCTAATCTTAAGAATATAAGATATATAGATGATATAGTCTTCTTGATAGCAGACATAGAAAGGAAACTACAAGAACTCCTACAGAAGGAAAGTGAGAAGAAAGGATGAACCATCAATTGTAAGAAGACAGAATGCATGGCTGTCAACAAAAGGAACAGCCAAACACATATGTCCTATGAATTAGAGATACCAAGATCAAGCAAGTACAAAAATTTAAATATCAAGAAAGTATTTTAATAGAGGACTGAAAATGTGACACTGAAATCTGAATGTACAATGGAATAGTGAAAGATGCCTTCCAAAGTATTAAGAAACAGGAAAATTTGGTCAGAAACAAAGAAAAGATTTTAGAGTGTTATGTACTATCAGTACTCCTATATGGCAGTGCAATCTCTTTATAGATGAAGAGACTTGAAGCAACAGAAATATGATTCTACAGAAGGATACTGAGAATACCATGGAATTAGCATGTAAGCAATGATGAAATTTTAAGGAAAATTGAAACAAAAAAGAACACTTAGCATTATAAAGAGGCAGTTGAAATTTCTAAGGCAAATAATGAGGAAAGTGGGCTTAGAAAATTTAACACTTACAGAGCATATTGAAGGCAAGAGGGTCAGAGGAAAGCAATGAATAACCTACCTAATGAGCTTGTGTAAATGGTTTGTAGAACAGGGATTCGGAGAGATAGCAAAAAAACAAAAAAAAAAAAAAACAAGCATTACTAAGAGCTACAAAGCACAGGAAATTGTGGAGAACCATGTTCTGAAGGGACATGCCACATAGAAGATAATTGATTTCTTCAAGCTAAATTTTGAAATATTAATTCTTGCTATCACCCAGATTTACCAGCCAGCTTACTCTTCTTATGAATGGTTTTGAATATTTCTTTCATTTTGTAATTACAAAGTCTTTTTTTCTTTTTTCAAATATCTTGGAAGCTTTTTTTACCCCCCCTACCCTCAACAAACAAATGTGCTTGTTTTGTTTTTGTTTCCTAAAATTTACTGAGTGCATATTTTACTATATCTGAATTTTTATGAATGCTTTTTTTCTTGCATAAGTTCTGCAATACATTAAAAGTAATGTAAAAGATAAATTTCATATACAGATGGTCCTCTGGTTACGTCGGACCTGACATACGGCATTTTGTGGTTACAGCGCCATCTCCCATAATATGTTATATATTCTTCATATAGCACCACTTTGTCATGTGGTGCTATATGAGGAAGACAGCATTGTGTCTTCACTGGCTGTACACCCTATTGGATTGAGCTACATTCACTATCTCTTGTTTGTGTTGGGTATTTTTCTTTTTTTGTTAACTTTTTGCCCTTCATTATAGCTCCCAAGCATAAGGTAGACTTGTGGGTGCTTATGTAGGTGAGGTTTGACCTACATCGAAAAAGTTGTGTTGTAGGAACACATCTCTGACGTTAAGTCGAGGACCCCCTGTATACATTTTATATTAGAATTTTATATACCCAATGACAATGAAGGTATTTTTAATTGCTATTTATTTTGACTTTTTATTTAGTAAAAGAAAAAAGAAAAAAACTCAAAGCATTCAGTGTACTTAAATGCTTGCAGTGTTGTTATCCTGATTTTGTTGATTTTTACCTATTCTATTTTCTGGATTAAAAGAAAAATCCATGACAGATTTGCAGACCATGCATTACTGGCATGGTCCCGCAGAAATATCCATTACTGCTAAATGGGCATGGTGTCTGCTTGATTTGCAATTTACTTCTCATGTCAGGTAGTAGCCAGCCAACCTTTGAGACTGACATTGTTCCTTGCTAAAGCAAAGACTACAATCAATTCTTTCTTCATTGTTCAGTTCTTGGCTGCTTAATGTGTTTTCCTTCCAAAGACACATGATTTTACTGACTTTACTAACTTTTTAAAATTCCAATTGCATGTTGTCAGTGTGTTTATTGTGGAGACATTTCTCTTTCATAAAATTTTCAAAGGTCAGACTATTTGGAGAAATTGTCTTCTGGAAGCTTTGAATTTAAGACCAACAACTCTTGAATGCATTCTTATCAGCATATGATTTATATTGAAATTAATACAGTTTAGAAATTATTTGACATATATTTGTTATAAATTTGAATAAAAAACTGGTTTGAAGAAATATATTTAGGATGTAGTTGAAAATATTAAAATTAATTTCATAAAAAAATTATTAAATTTTTAGAAAAAATTCTGAAACAAGTTGTACAAAAAAAGTTACAAATAAAATAAGAAAAAGTTTGCTATGTTCAACTATTTTGTAGTTTTAAGATTAGAATTGTGTATTTTGATATTTTTTATTTAAAAAAAATCTTGCAATAATTTAATGACTTCTGTATTCAGCTTTTCATTGGTGATTGAAATGTACTTTGAAGTATCTGTTCAGTCATATTCTTAGCCACCTTTTCTATAGAAGTTCTCTTAGTTGTTTTATAATTTAGATCATCAATTCCTTACCAGTGATGAATGGATTTTTTACTCTTTGTAATTCTTATTTTAATTAATCTAGAAATAATCAGATAATGCTGTTTGTTTCTTTGGTTTCCTTGTCTGTAACTTTTTTATCTGTAGAAATTAAAACATACACTCAGACACTGAAACATATCCACTATGCTATTATTAAAGAATGTTATTAATACAGGGCAGCTGTTTGGGATATTACTCAAGAAGATAATTTAGAAAACTTTAGAAGAGTCCATGAGATTCAAATGAAATCAAAATCTGCATAACTATGATTTATGTGATAATTTTGTGAGATGAATAAATATCTGATTCAAATTTGAGAAAGTTGGTGGAGCATATGACATGAGGTATTTGGAAGTGAGGGGCAATTTAAATGTTTCTTTCTGACTTCATGTATCTTTAAAACAATGTTTTTTTTTTTTTTTTTTTTTAATTTTATGTTGTTTATAGTGTTCTAAGATTTGGTGAACCTGTATTTAGTCAACAAATATCTATTGAATGAAGAAAATATTTATTGCATGTTTTATACACATACACTGTGCATCAGAATGCTTCCTCAGTGATGTCTATTGTGGGGTTGTAGAAACTTTTGTGCCTCCATGACATCAAACGTTCTTGCCTATGGGCCAAGTCAAGAGTGATCATTTCTTGACTAGCATTCTGGCATAGTTTCCGCAGGATTACAAGGATTGTAACATTCTACATTATATAGGTAGTTAATTTAATGTTTATTTTGCTGAAAGTAGAAAATAAAAAAAAAAACAAATTGGAAAAGCAAGGTTATTTTATTTGTTTGGGAAGAAATTATGAGTTATATTATAAACAAGTATATTTTATTCTTTAATCAAAGTAGTTTTCCTGGCTAATTTTATTGATTTATATGCAATTTTTTTGTCACTGGTTGAACTGCTGAAAGTTCGTAAAGAGTTTCATTCAAAAGTTTTGTGATGATATACTAATGATTCCATTAAAATTATGAGAAAAAATTAAACCAAATTTATTATAGAAAACTAAGCATGAGTTCATTATAAATTGGTTAGGAGACCTTTCAATTCAAATGATTTTTCTAGAAAATTAAATTAAATCTTATATGGTTGAAGAGACTGCTATTTTGAATGTCATTTTATGTCTGATAATGTCTCAAAATTCACACTGATTTTTTTTTTCTTTTCTTACTAACTGAATGATTATTGTTGCTTAACTGATATCCATGTTTGCCAATGTTTCCCATTTTCAGGCACCACTCTATCCCCTGCTGCCCGAATCTCAGCACTCTCCATTGTTGGAGACTTGTTACAGAAAGTTGGTGTAAGTACATTGCTTTTACTAATCTTCTACACTGGCTGGCAGCCTTTTGCAAAATATTTTTCTGTTGTAGTCATTTTGAATATATCAACTTGTTGATCCCTACACCTCCAGTGTGAGTGCATCATGTTTTACAAGCATGCAGACTTCTGCTTGAGCTTTCTTCATCATCCATCATTCTTCCATCTTGAAAATGTTCCGAGGTCTGCATTTGGTTTGTATCCACAAAGGCTTTTAAAACTTGGTTCCATTTGTTTTTTTATTAGCTTCAAAAGGTAGACAAAATCAAAGAGATGGTGAATTTTAAGAGAATTTTTCTTATATTGCAGTATCTCATGAAATAATTGATTCAGTTAGTCATATATATTATATGTTGGTTTGATGGTAGTTAAAGAGGACAAATTACGATTTCACTTGTGAATATTAAATTTATAATTTTTTTTATTAAATCCTGTAAAGCTATAAATGCAAACACATTTTTGAAGTGTTTGTGAAATATAAAATTCTAGATTTGGGTTACAGGACTTGTATGTATGTATGTATATATATATATATATATATTTAAGAGACAACCTTTGTTTTATGTAATTTTAAATTATTTAGCTTGTAACACATACAAATATTTCACCCCCACTAGCAGCACTGAGATAAGGAATTTTTTTTCCAGATATTAAAATAAGAGTGATATAAAGTTTCCCATTAATGCACTTTGTTGTATGTAACCCATTACTATTATTATCAGGTGTGAACACTGCCATTTTAGAAGCTTGAATCCTGTTGGCCTTTTTTTTTTTTCCTTGCAAGGTCTTTGCTGTTGAGAGTAAGAAAGGAAATCCTTGTCCAGCTATGATACTGTGGTGATAAATTTTAATTTTTCAATCAGTCAATATTAACTGCATTTTTAGGCATACTGTTTCATACCTGAAGATTGTGTTGTGTGTGAAGGTCAGACTTGTGCTACTGGTGAGGAATAATATGTATTTTTATTAATATATACTTAATAGCTCTGTTATATTACATTGAGCACTATTTTATTAACATCAGCACTTGATGGGCAATATCTTTTTATTTTTATATATGTATATAGTTGTATGGATATTAGTTTGTGACACTGGGTTTCACACTCTTGCAATCATCACACACACACACACACACACACACACACACACACACATATATATATATATATATATATATATACACTGAATGCCTGAGAAATTTTCACAGAAAATATTCATCCTCTGACAGGATTCGAACCTGTATCTTATATGGAACCGTCATTTAGCCTGACGTGCCTTTACCGATTTGGCCACAGAGGCGCATTCGGTTAGCAAGGTCGAATTTACTGTATTTAAACGTCAATCTTCCATGAATCTCTCACGTACATTCATATCTGCTCATGGCATATCAAATGTAAAGAAATGACGTCACACATTATGAAATGGACAAAGCCTGACAATTATTTTAAGGCATCGGAAGACGAATATTTTCTGTGAAAATGTCTCGGACATTCAGGCCGGTGAATGTTGTTTAATACTGTTTATTATAAACAGAGCATTTACTTAAATATTTGTATCTATAAAAAGAATGTATAAACATAAAAATGTCTTAAAATAATTGTTGGATTTTGTCCATTTCATAATGTGTGATGTCATTTGTTTACACACGTACACACATATATATATATATATATATATATATATATATAATACACACACAGGTTTGATAAAAGACCAACAAAACGTCTTTAAGGATGTTTTATTTTGTTTTTTATATTTTGAATCATTTCTGGTTTCTGTTGAAAATTTGAATATAAATTATCTGATGTCTGAGTACTTTTAGCTTTCATAAACTGTTATAATGTTGAGACTGTGTTCTTTTTTTTTTTTTTTTTGCACTATGTTAGTTTCTAAACTTGATAAGATTTTATTGACATTAGGTTGTTTTTATTATTAATGCTTTCTATTATTCTATTATATTCAGTGTCTATTTGATGTAGTATTGTTGTGTTATTAATGAAGATCTGTTGGATTTCTTTTATTGATATGCATTTGAACTATTATTGGAGTTATGCTTTATATTCTGCATAAGTACTTGATCTGGCAACATCAAAGACCTTGACGTATTTGTTGCACATGCACCCACTCTAGTTTTAGCATTTGAGAGATATAGGTAAGTGACAAACAATTGGGTATTAAATTTCTTTTATTTTTATCTTTTTGAAGAATATATGATAGTTATATGAGGAATATTAAAGAATCATTTACCCTGGGCAATAACATTCCCCAACTTTTCAACCAGTCAGCTGAGCACTTGTTATTTAGTGTCACTTCTTTCCACACAGGCGCTAGAAACAAAGCTGGCTTCTTGTAGAAACTTTGGAGCTGGTGGTGACCAGACACATAGTGGCCTAGTAGCTAGTGGCAGTCCAATTAATTCACCTCGGTAAGTATCAGTAACTTATTCATCTACTCTTTTGTAGACCATTCTGAGGCCGCTCCAATTTGACTGGATTCTTTTTTGAGTTTGAATCTGAATTTTCCACTAAACTTCCATTTGATGCTAAACATTTTGTTGTTAGCAGCTTTGGCAGAAATGTGTAGATATCAATTATCAACACCTATCCTTGGAATTAACATAATTTCTGGAGGAAATGAAATATATGGGAGCCAATATAACACAAGTATTATGCTGGATTTTTACCAGTTACATTTTTATGAGATTTTTTTTTTTCTTTGACATTTTGTTAGAATGATCATTTGCAAAACTTTTAAATTCAAACTTGAAAAAAAAGTGAAAATATATAAAATATTCTTGTATGTTTGTGACTGGCATTTAAATCCTTAAAATATTTTTGTGGTTCATAAATGTGTATATTTAGAAAATAGAATTTCATGAAAATTGATCAAGTTTGGGATATTTTTTTTAACATGACTAAAATTAACTTCTTGTATGAATTATTAATGAAATCTGCTTTAAAAGTATTTGAATGTGATCTCCTTGGATTAAGGCTGAATCCTACTGTACACATTTCATTGCTCCTCCAAATACTCTCCTCTATTGCACTGTTGTATTTAAAATGATTGCTCCCTTTTTCACAAACCTTTATTTGCACTGTTGTATGGAACTGTAAATTTGCCTTCATTTTTGCACTGTTGTGATTGTCTCATGGAATGAACCTCCTCAAAAATTAGCAGAATAATTAATAGGAATAGTTAAAATAAAACTAATCATTTTTTTAATTTCAATGAACATTTCAATGAAAATCAATATTTGGTAAAATGTAAAGAAAATTCACTGAAAAAATATTTACAGAATGAAAATCATTTTTCATTATTAGATGTTACTAAAAAAACTCTAATTTCTAGATGGTTGTATTGTGTAGAGGTAAGTTGATGTGATTTGGTTATAAGGTTTCTATTTATGACACTGCACTTGATTTTCTTTCCAATGTGATTTTTCTTTTATATCTTAACTCAAACCAAACATTAAATCACACACTTTATACAACTGATTTCAAAGGACAAAATTTTTAAAAATCTGCCATAAATAATGGTGGTTAGTATTGATGTTAAACTGGATCATTGTTATTCACAATGACTTTTATCTGGATTTATTTACTAAACTGAGAATTTTTATTGATAATTAACAAATTTGCTTTATATTCATTTAAGATTTGAGTTTGATATTACGAATAAATTATAACTTTTTCTTTTTTAAATATCTTGACACTAAGTTGATTAATTTTTAGAAGCAAATATAAGTAAAATATAAAATCTATAAGAAACTAGAATAATTTCTGTCTGAATTTCTGGGGGTTAGGAGATATCATTATTTACATGATTTATATTCAGATTATTGTCCTCATCTTTGTTGTTGTTAACACAATGTTTTGCCCATTGTGGTCCCACCCTTCCTCAGGTGTAAATTGATCTGCAGAGAGTTCTGAACTGAAGCCTTCATTCATTCTATCTACTAATAGATTAAAATTAAGATTAAATAAAAGGTTCAATTCAGAATTCCCTGTAGGTTGATATACCTCTGAGGAAGACTGTAGGGCACAATGGTAAAAACGTGTTAACAACAAAGATGAGGACAATAGTCCAAATATAAACAATGTAAATAGAATAGAGTATGAGAAAGAAAAGTTTTCTTTTTCTTTTCTTTTTTTTAAATTTATGATAATCTTTGTCCCAAAATGTATAGTTGTCATCAATATTTCATATTTTTCAAAAATTTTGTTTACTTTATCAGTATTTCAGTTCTTTATTGATAAATCTAAGCCCCAATGTAATTAAAGATATTTTCAGCCTTTTTTTTTATTTCATTGAGGTTTTTTTTTCTTTTTTTGTTTATATAATTTCTTTTTAATATCAACTTTTCTCTTAATTTTTAACTTTGACTTTGTATTATTCTCAATAAGTTGCAGTTACATTTATTTTTTTAGAATTCTTTTATTTGGTTTATTTGTTTAAGTCCTCAAATGGATTTGGTTCTTAGATAATTTTTTTTTGTTCCTGTTCCTCAATGTATTTATTGGTTTTCATATTATATTAATTTTTGACAACCCTCCCAACTATGATTGTCTTATATCTGCTCATTCTCCCACAGGTCTGTGCTTAGCCATCACGGTGGATGTAGAGGGTAGGATCATGGCTGTATTTCTCTCAACTCTGCGTCGTCCTCTGTCGTTTTTGTGTTGGCCTCTGACGTCTAATCATTGTGTCCTTGTTTGTGTCATTTGGTAGGTCATCACTTGCTGTCCACTTACTAGTGTCCCCTGCTTATCATCCTGATAAAAAATGCATCGAGGCTCTTCAGAAAATGTTATTTGATGTGGTGAATAGATACCCTGAGTTAATGAACTGTACTGCTCGCCTGGTCACTTCCAACACTCGCCGCCGTAGCAACTGCTGGACGCACAGGACCAACGACACAAACAGAAATACCACACGACAGGTTGCTTAAGCTTGTTGGGAATAAAATTTTTAAAAAATGCTTTACATTATGACAGGTAGGAACAAATGTGCACTCTCCCAGCGGGCACCTTCCCACTATATCACATGCGACTCTTCTCCCTTTGATTTCACTATGACTCAAGTCCCTTAGGAAAACTGATCTGTCGTTCCAGTGGGCAATCTGTTGCTTTTTGCCTAGAACTTGAGACATTTACCACAATTGTGTCAGATAACTAAAGACAAGTCAAAACAGAAAGAGTGATTGCACTGAGATAATCATGATTATTGTAGCTTTTAGTTTCAAGAAATTAGGCAGGATTGGCACAGATATGCAAGAAACCAAAAGCTGCTTTATTTTCAGTTAACTGATATTTGATGCTATAGTGATTAATTTTTGATGACTTTGGAATTATCCTAAATCCTCATTATCTCTCTTAGTGCACATATTTATTGGCTCCTTTTAATTAAAAATGAAATTGACTTGGTGATAATACTTTGTCAACAGTTAACACCACTCAAGAAGCTTCAATGAAGCAGTGGAATATTTAGAAATCCCATTGAGCTATATTTCTGTAATTGGAGATTCTCTAGCTAACCTTTTTTTTTTTCTTTCTATGAATCCAGATTGTCCTGACAATGTTACTTATTAAATTATACATGACGCTCATGATTAAAAAAAAAATTCACTTAAGTTGAAAGTATAGATAAATGTGAAACTATAATAAAAATTTTAGATAAATATTTGATCTGCAGTCAGTTGACAGTCAAGTGTTTAGGATTAATGCCTGACTTATTTGTGACAAAATGCAATTAGATGACTAACAGAACATTTACCAAAGTAGAAAGTGACTAACCAGATAAGGTTCCATATCATAACCTAATGTATATTGCTTCTAACTGTTGTGTTGTTGAACTGTGTGTTCAGCACTATTCTGATCAGCATATCTGCAAGCTGCTAACCCCACCCAAGCCATTCATTTATCATTTCAAATTATAAATGTTAAACCAATTAATCTTTGGATTGAATAGAAATTCAGTTATTGCTAGTTTTAGAACTTCATATAGGAATTGCCTACGAGGCAGACAAAAAATAAAACTCATTACAAAATGTAGAATGTTTTTTTTTTTTTTGTTTTTTTTTTTGTACCATTTTTATGTAGAAGTGCTAAAGTAAAATTCCTAAAACTCATCCTCTCTTCCCCCTAACTTTGCTTACTGTCTGTTTATGTAAGTTTTTCTTTGTCTTTATTTGATGGTAAAATCAACTGTTTCATCCATTTCTCAGCATGTCACTGTGCATACTGTAATATTCTCAAGTCAATAGATTGGGTCAAAGGTCATTTGTATTTGATGTCAAGTAAAAACTTTTTTTTTTTTTCTTTTTTTTGTGTAGTCTTTATTTTTTTACTTTTACTTTTTTTAATCAGTTATTTTCTCCCTCTTTGGAATGTCCAACCTGAAGCATCAGTCAAGTGTTGATCACAAGCATGAGATAATATCTTAGGACTTGCATTTTTTTTTTTTTGTCTTTTTTTTTTTCTCCAAACTTCTGTGACATGTTAAGTGTACACTACATCTTGGAACTTGAGTATTGATGTTGTACGCCTATTGTCGATGTTGTTGCTGCATGTCTTGAGTTCTGTTGTTGCTCCCTGCAGGCAGCAGTTACTCAATGCCAGCACATTCACAGACAGAAAACAATGGAAAGGAAGTATTGGTGAGCTGTCTTTTTTAAACTAGTTTTTTTTTTTGTAATGGTATTTTAGCACTGCACTATATTTCTTCCCCAACCAGCACATTGTATTTTTAATGGTATGTACAAAAATGAAGCAACGTATTGATAAATTTTCTTCTCTCTGAAAGACTTACTTAGAAAGTTTAGCTGTGTTGACTTTCTCTGTGTTTTGTCCAACTCTTTTTGTCTCTGTAAATTGTCATCTTGTGTCAAACCCTGTCCTTAATATATATATATATATATATATGGTGAAAGCCTTCCTCCTATATCTACATCTCGACCATTCATGGATCATTCTTTCATTCTCAGTTTGCTTGTGAAATGCTTATGTAGCCATTGGATAATGCATTTCATCACCATCTTTTTTTTCTCTGTTATTTTCAGCATTTGTGAATTGTCCCAAATCATGTCTTGGCCAATTCACTGCCTTTTTCTAAAGTATTCTTTAAAAAAAAAAAAAAAAAATTTAGTCAAATATTTTCAACTCTGTTTTGTTACCATTATTAGTTGATCATTAAATTATTCAAAACATTATTTGTAATTTTCAAAATTAAAGTTTCTACAATAAAAATTGCATTTGGTCTAAAACAGTGATTCTCAACTGCCATGCCGTGGCACACTAGTGTGGTGCATGATGCTTTTAAGTGCGCTGCAAAATATTGTCACAGCATATGCATGTGTGTGTGAGAGTAGTAACAGTACAGTATTAGTATTTTACTAAATAAGTTGCACAAATAGTTGAAGAGAAATATTGAAATAAATTAAATTCATATTTGTGTGTGTATTTTTTTCAATGGTTTTATTTCCTAACATTTAAATGTATACCTTTTAAAAATTTTACTAAGTCTGTTGTGTTATTTTCATTTGCACCGAGGTGTGCCGTTGCTTTAAAAGTTGAGAAACACTGGTCTAAAATAAGGTTTTAAAAATTGTGTGCTATTTTCTTAAAGATTTTGATGGAATAATATTTTTGCATTTAGACGGCTTCAACATTCCTCAAGTGAAATTCTGGTGAATGTAACATCAGCTTAATATGGATGATGGTCGTCTTATAAAATACAAATTGTACTTCCTCATATTAAAATACAAAACACTCTCCAAATGATATAGTAGGTGACTAAGTTTTATTGTAGACAGATATTGCTTTAACGCTGCTGCTTTTTTTTTTTTTTCTTTCTTCCAATTCTTTAACAAGTAATTGCTATTCATTTGACACTTTTTGGATTTCTCATCTTCAGTTAATTTCTCCTTGGTTGCTTGTCTGGTGCTGGTGCATGGCTTGTTACCTGTAGACAATTCTTGTAGAATTACACAATGCATTTAAGATGTTCTACTCACAAATTAACCAGCGATTTTCTTTACTAATGATTGATTTTATGTTAATACCATTTTATCATGAAATATTTGGATGTTTTTAAATTTCTCTAATTTGAATGAAATATATTCAGGTATTGTTGAGCTTACTTTCTCCAATTTAGTATTAGCCAAGTGTATCTGCATGTACCCAAGTGTACGTTTTGCTTCTTATTTCTCTTCAAGAGCTGAGTAGTGTGTCTTTATTTGATGTTGAAGTTTCTATTTAGAATCTTGGTTGTTTGAAACCTAAAGTAATAACTTTTGCAAATAAATCATGTTTGTGTGTGTGTGTGCGCGCATGAATTAATTTTGAAACATCATTTTGAAGAGACAAATTTTTTTAATTATGTTTATTTTATTGCTTTTTGTTTTGGTGGATGCTGAGATTTAAATACACAAAATTTAATCAACGTTTTCACACCAGCTTTGGTAAATATTATAAACATATTTCAGAATTTCAGTCTGCAGTTACAATAGTATAAAATTGCATGATTTGCTTTCTCAAACCTTGATGATTTTTATTATATGTTTATCTCTGTTCTTATATATAAATGTTTTTAAATATTCAAATAGCCATCACTGAGATTGACACAAAAATTGAAATTAGACTGTTTGTGATATTATAGCAGTAACCTATGTTTGAATTTCACAGAAGCTCATGTTTAAGAAATAAATTTTATTTTGAAAGTAAATACAAATTTGAAATGTAAGATATGGTTTTATTAAAGTTTTGTAAATTTAACCATTTTGTCTAGCCAACCCAAGATGAAAATAATTTTTCCTAATTCCAAGTTTAAATTATGCAATTGTAAATTTCTGGCAGTTTGTTGGGTCTTAAGAATTCATTGATATTATAAAAACAGCAAAGCTGTGTCTAGCTTTCTAAATAAATTTCTGGGCCCATTCAAAAGAAAGTCAAATGGATGAAACTAGATTTGAAAAGTAAATTCATCATATTTTTGCGAAAGGAGTCAGACAGTTGTTGAAATAATAGCTGCAGAAAATAATTTATGTAGAAAAAATAATGTTTCTGATTGCACTACTTAGAAATAGTTTCAACATTTCTTATTTGAAAATAACTTGACTGCAAATGTATTTTGCAAAAATGCTGGGTACATATTTAAATTTGAACTAAATTGTGCTGCCTTAAAAAAAACAAAAAAAGCTATTTTATCCTGATGACTGGAGATCTATTTACCTAACAGTATCTCCTTATTGTATTAAGTGGAAAAAGCTTTGGGAGTACATTGATTTGTATAGTAAAAATCAAAGGATTTAGGAATTTTTACTAACCCAGATGTTTGTAGATCAGAATTCTGATCTGCTACCAAATGTTAATGTTTACTAAGTACATTCAAAAGATGATCCTCAAAAAATTACACACCATTTTTGCTGAGAGAATTTGAATTATATGGGAAGACAAACACTTACACCTACTATTGTGTGTCTGTCAGCAATTTCAGTGGAATTTTTCAGTGAATCATCAGAATTTTATTTAAGGATTATGTTGGGAGCCCTGTAAGATTAAATAACTGGTTCAGTTTGAAATTCCTTGAATGTTACTTGGATTGAAAGAGACCTGAAAGCAAGAGGGCACAACATTTGAAATGTTATGGTAATAACAAAGATTGAGGACATTAGTTTGAATGTAAATATTTTCTCATCGCAGAAATTAAATAATAATAAAAAAACAGTCCTTCTATCTTGTAACTTATGGCTTAAAATTAAGCCCTCACATATTCCAAGTACATGAAGATGCCATAGTTTTAAAAAAGCACAAAATTCAAATTGGGAAAGGGAAATTAATGATCTCAGTTTTGTTTTGTTGAAAATATTTAAGTCTTTGCAAACATTTTGTTGTTAAATGAGACTTTATACTACACAGTATGAAATAAATTGGAGAGCTTTGGCTTGTTGATTATACCTATGATCTTTTGTTATCTGATAATCTTTTTTCATGAAAATAATCCAGAATTGATGGAATTTTATAACTTCTGGTACATAAACTTGTTTCTAGAAAGAAAAAAAAAAACATTGACTGGAAGAAATTATTTAAATGATCAAATTGTTTTTTTTGTATTTGTTTCTCTTTTTGTTATTTATGTAAACTGCTTGTTCTTCATTATTTAACCTATTAACTAAGGATGATTTGAATTTCCATCATTACAATTCTATGGCTCCACTGACAATAACAGAAATGTTTGCCATAGTTAATTGGTTAGCATTGATTTATTTTATATAAATACCAGATGGAATTCTTTGTAGTACTCTTGAAACTTACTGAGTAAAGACTTGTATGAAAAGTAATTGGTGCTTTGTGAGAAAGAGTGGGTAGGTTGAAGAAATTAAATACAAACAATTTAATATATATAAAATAAAGTTTCAAAAATTGAGAGACTGTGGCCTTATATTGAGTAATTCCCTGTTTAACCTGAAGCTACAACACATGGAGTTGTCTACAAAGTATTGCGATTGTTGCATGTTTATCAGGCTGTCCACAACTGGCTTGTGCTTATTAGATATGGCTGTTAGGAATGCAGCATATTCAAGATCTGTTCAATCATTTTAAACTTAGTTAGGATAGAAGCCAGTGGAATATTTCAATTCAGCTGAGTATTTCCAGGCCTAGTTATGTGTCACTCATGCATGCATGGTTTGCAGGTCATGTTATGGCACCCTTAGTCAACAACTATAAAACCCCATGGATTGAAGTATATATTGTAAAATGTATTGACTGATGACTTGTGCAGCACCTTCATTGAATTTGCATATGATTTGATTCCATATTCCACTTGTTAGTCATCAGGGTTGCTGTGCTTGCATTATGCATAGATGCCAGCTTTCTTCATGTGTTACTAATATCTATTTGGAATTCACATATTCTTGGTATATTTTGCTCAAGGAAAAAACCCTAGAGAACCCTATCCATCATTCTGTTGTCAAATGGTGTTAAATCTTGTTCATGTCCTTTGGCTGTCACAGCTACAATACCTCCTTACCTATTACACATATCATATAGTGGAGTTCATTTTTACAAGTGGGGAGGATAAAAACCATCCAGTGTACTGTGGTCTCTAAATTTTTGGCACTTCAGTTTATACAGGAAAGCTATTTTTGTGCACATGCAAACAAATTGTCAGTTTGTTCAATGTTTTAATAGATTATCTTGCAGATTCTAATGCTGAATATCTTATCTGTGTGAATGTATGTAGTTGCAAAAGATATGTTTTCTTTGCATATTTATGATTTTCATACAAGTCATATTCTTGCATAGAAATTCTAGTTGCTTTGTAAACCTGTTGAAGATTTATGTGTCCAGTTTCTTTCTTAATGAAAATATACTCTTTTCCGTTACAATATTACTTGAAAATTATATTTCAGGTCATCCCGTTTGAAAGCAGGTACAGCCCAGCAGCGAGCGCCACTAAATGTGACCATGTGACAACCAGCAACCTTGCCCCCAACTCTGGATGCAGACAGCACACCTGGCAGAAGACCACGACGGCCCAAGGAATAGCTATCATTCCAAGTGATAACTGTGTCAGACATTTTCCATCTTTATTCTCCTAGTCTATTTTATTGAGCTTGGTCTCTCTGGGTAGGGAGTGTTGTCTGTGCCAGTCACGGCCGTGTGTTGTGAGCATGTGAGAGAGAACAAGTGAGAAAGGTAAAAAAAAAAAAAAGAAGAAGAAAATGGGGGGTGGGGGAGAGAAATGTCTGGCTTCTGCCTTAGCCACTGCCGCCATAACCGCTGCTGTTGCCAGGCTTTTATCTAAGGGAAGGAACTCTGTCAGATTCATTAGTTGTGGTCCTAGTTTTATTAACTTAGTTACTCATTTAGGTGTCACTGTATCATTCAGTGTCTACTGCTCTATCCCAAAAATGAAGACTGATCATTTAAGCTACATTTATCAGATATATGAAGAATTCATTTAAACTGTCTGAAAAGCATTATGAACTCTAATTGTATTTCCAATCTAGAAATTTTTCCGATACATTACTTTTTAATTTTAAGCAAGAATATCCATGTGTCACATGGGTATACTAGTCTAAATCTCTATTAAATAGTAATTTCTCTTGTTTTTGCTTTTCTTCTTTAAACCAATAAATTCCCACTTCATCTAAAGAAAGAAAGAAAGGAAAAACTGCTACATGATCATCAAATCCTTATGGTTAAGAATTTTTGCAGATCCTTCCCAATATACTCAGAGCTGCTGCCTGCTGTGTGGGTATGCATCTTACTGTATGTTAATTATGGAATAGACATTGCAGTGTATGTACATATGTACAGGAATCTAATGTGTGTGTTTGTGAGAGGCAGTAAGAATGATAGAGCAGTGTGTATATGTGCATATGTATCTCTCTTATTTAATATTCTTCTTATGAGGTCAGTGGTATGATTTTTAACGCTGATATTCTCCTGAATCTCCAGCCAGCTCCTGAAGCTATTTTGTACAAACTGGTTTAGAAGTTTTCAGTTGAGAATATTTATTACTTGTAATCTTTGCACTTCTACAAGACAATATAGATGTTAAGTAATTTAGGACAAGTCAGGTGTCTTTTCTGATTGACTTTGACTCTTAAGTTTCACTACTAAAATAATGATTTTTTTTTTTTCATTTGCTCAGGCAATAGTTAATTACTTATGGGGTAACTTTTCATCATTATTAGTGATTTTTATAGGGTAGCTTCTTTTTAATTTTCTTTTACCCAACAAAATTATAAATTTAGTGTTGCTATTTATTCTACTTTTCTTTTTATAGCCCCCACCAAAAAAATATAGTTCTTGCTTTATCTTTTGAGTTATTTATTGAAGATAAATTTACACATTCAGATCACTATAATATATTTATTTTTTTATTTTTTTTATTAAGGCTAATTTAACTCTGGCCCCACCCTCTCCCCCCAAAATGTACAAGTTCTAAAATTTATACTAATATTCTAATATTAAATAATTCTGGAAAATTTTCCTTGCCTCCCTTTCAATATATATATTTTTTTAAACACAGATTTAGTTTTATGTTAATTACTGCTACCATTTATAAGAAATCAGAATTATCTTTGAATTAAACAAGGAAACAGCTTTTATTGAAAATATTTATTTTCAAGAATAGTTTTGATTTTTTTTTTTTTTTTTTTAAATTTAGCATTGTTTAATCTCACCTTTTTAGACAAAAAAACGTTAGTTATATTTTGTTAATGGGATGAAGAAGAAAGAAGCTAATTGAATGAGCTAATTTTCCTTGCCCTATTTATATGACATAAATTTCCAGTTTAATTGAATTCTTTTTAACTTAGAGTTTCTTGATTATTTTTTGTTTAAATCTTATTCCTTTTTACTAAGCTGCTGTTATAACTCCATGTACCTGATTATTTTCTAGGTTTTTTTTCAACTTCATACATACAGAGCATTCCTATTAGTTTCTTTGTTTTTCATTTTCTGATTGTATTTCATTTTTCAGTTCAGTTTCTCTTAGAAACTCAGTTATTCAGTACCTGATGAAAGAAAGAATGAAAAAAGCCAGTCTTCAAAACACATCAGTTGTTTTTCTGGCTTAAATACAACCACAACCTCCCTCCCCTACCCCCACCTGATATATCGGCTGGCTTTTGTGTCCATCTGTGCAATATTTCAGTATGTGGCCTCGTGCACTGACCCCCCCGAACCCTTCCAGGGCTGTGTTCCTGACTGATTTGTAATGATTCATAAACCATTACAAGAAGCTTTTTACTGCTCAGTGCAATTCCAAAGCTTTTTTTTTTTTTTTTTTTTTTTTTAAAAACCTTTTCTTTGCTTTAATTCCTCTGACGACCTAGTCTTCTTTCAGCTTTCATTGATATCATTTGGACAAGCTTTACTTTCTCTTCTCTTGTTGCTCTATCATTTCTCTTATCTGGCTTCTTTTCTTCTTGATGCCAAAGTTATGTCGAGAGCAGGGTACCAAAATGTGAAAATCTATCTGTGTGCGTATGTATGTGTATGTGTGGCTGAATTCTTTGTATTAGTTTGAGTAAACTACTTCTAATAATTGATGTTTTGTATTTTATTTTTATTCTATGGCAAGGGAAAGAAAAAAAGATTGTTTTCTGTTGCATCTTGAAAAGGGCCAAATATTGATGTCTATACATTTGACTAAATGTATACATTCTCCTCTCATTTGTCTGAATGACATGATCCAGCTTAGTTGTACCTCAGAATATTTTTGCTTGTGGGCATAAAAGCTGGTTAGTTGACAGATGTGGCTTCTAAATGTGTCGCCAGTGTGCACATTAAATTTTTCTTGCTCAAGAATATAATTTTCTGAATAATGGCACAAAGAGTACAGATGAACCATGCGGGAAAATATATGTGCATGCATTTAAGGCCATAAAATCCACTGTTCGTTATTGTCAACAAGAATTTGCCCCCTAAAACTGATGCTGGGAGATATTTGTTCTTGCTGTGTGGTATGATGCATTGTAGCTGACCCACAGTGATTTTATGAAAGAAAGTCAGTCACCCTTGCTTATCAGAGAAACTCAACAAATGAGGACATATAAAGAAAACAATCTGGATATAGTGTGAATTTAAAAAATAAATATAAATACAAAACCATGTCCTACAATAAATAATAATAATAACAACAATAATTCATTATGGTAATCATATGAATAGGAAAAATAATAATAATGTATGTTAAATGAAAAATTTGCCTGCATTTTATTTGTTATAATTGTCTTGTAACTCTTTTGCTATCGAGTTTTAATATACTGCTCGACATAGAATAAAAATGTTTTGATTGGTCTGAAATCATGGAATATGTGTACACACAAGCACACATACATATGTGAAAAAAGAGTGTAGTATGTGGGGAAAAAAAAAGTTTGTATGTGGTTGGTGCACTGTAAAATGACATCACTATTATCAGGCTGCCAATTTTGATATCAGTGTTTTGTTAATTTTCAGTTGAAAAATATAATAAAAAAGAAAAGAAAATTAAATACCTATAAATGTTGTTTGAGTTAAAATTTTTTAGATGATATTGTTAAAATATTTTTTCTCCCTTCAATAAGGTTAATAATTTCATTTCTAAACTGACAATTTAATCACCATGACTTCCTCCTGAATTGACAACTTTTTTTTTTTATTTTATTGGGACAGTTTCAGATTTTCCACTTAATTTTCTTTGGAAAATCCTTTTGCATTATTTTTTTACTAATCCAAAATAAGACTCGAGATAATCTGATGCACAACACTTTGTACATTTTATATGGGGAGCGATGTTGCAAATAGATTATTATTGTGCATTTTAGTAAAAGACAAATTTTAATTTTTAGAAAGATTTAGTATTTCATCACTGAAATAAATACTATATTATAAAAAAGCCATCATAATCATATAAAAAAAGTCAAAACTATCTGATATTAAATATAAAAGACTGCAAAAACACACCACTAATAGTGGTGGAGTTGATTATACACATGTTACTGTTATCCCTTTTGAGGTCAATACCTGAACCAGGTACTAAATCACCGATTCTGCAGGAATGAGGAATAACTGACATCACAGGCAAAATATTACAATATTTGTCAATCAATGGATGCCACCTGATGATGACCACAGGGTACTTAGTTGAAACATTGTTTATAATAATATCTCTCAGCCAAAAGGAGAACAATAGTTCAAAATAATAGAAGTATATTTCTAGAAAGAGTTCTGGTAAATAATGTTTATTTAATTTTACATTTAACCAAAAGATTTACTTAAAACATTATTACATGAACAATAAATTAAAAAAATAAAATTTACATGAATTTAAACCAATTGAGATGCAGCCAAAATTAACTTTTTGGTTATCTAATGGCTACATTTACTGATGGAACATTTTGAATTTGAGAAATTCCCCCTTAAAATTCTGTTTGCTATGCAACTAGAATATGACCTGAAAATACTATATTAGATATACTGTAAAATAAAACAAAAAAAAACTACAATTACTAGAAGCATAAAGCACCAAAAATAAAACCAGCATAAATAAAATGTTTTTCAAATTTAAAAACAAGCACATTAAATATATTTCATTAGAAAAAAAAACAAAACATAAAGTGACATGTAAATTCACAATACATTAGATAAAAAATCAACATGATGTGAGATGATGCAATATTTGCATAATGATGAAACTGAAATAACACAAAAAGACAACTCTTTAATAATGTCTTATGAAAGCTGAATAAATTTGGATATTGGACAAGTTATATTTAAATTTTCAATCAGAACTGCTCAGAAAATGATCTGGAATAGAGAAAAAAAATAAAATGTAAAGAACTTTCATTGGTCTTTAACCAGACTTGTATAAATGAAAAATTGCTACTCAAATACACCCAAATAAAATATGAATAAAAACTGTATAAC